CTTGCTACTCATCCAAATGAACAACTCAAATTACAAGAACATATCGATTCTTATTTTAATCCAGATACAGATGATGATGCACCAAGCTATGAAACAATCTTGAAAATGGAATATTTAGATATGTTCATTCGAGAAGTTCTTCGTATGTATCCAATAGGACCAACTGCTATCAATCGAGAAAGTACAGAAGATTTTCATATAAATGGTATCGGTACGATTCCTGCTGGAACAATTGTCACTGTTGATATGTATACAATACATTTTGATCCTGATCTATGGGGTCCAGTTGATCCAAATGTATTTGATCCAGAACGATTCGCTACAAAACGACACCCACTTGCATGGATTCCATTTGGTATCGGATCACGAAATTGTGTCGGTATGCGTTTTGCATTGCTGGAAATGAAACTATTTCTTATTCGCTTACTAAAAGTTTATTCAATTATTGATTGTGGTGAACTAACACATCGATCAACTGAAGAACTCGAAGAAGCTGCTGTTATTTATCCAAAAAGTATCATAATTCGTTTGCAACGTCGAGACGAACATAGAGCGTGAATTCGATATTCACGTGTATCTTTTTTTCTGATTTCATAAAGAAACAATAATGATAAACTTTTAGTATGGTATTTGTAAGTCACCATTTGGGTGTGGGCGAGGGTGTGGGGTGTGGGTGGGTGTGTGGGTGTGGGTGTTGGTGTGGGGTGTGGGGTGTGGGGTGTGGGTGTGAGACTCGCTCTTCTATCTAACCACACCCATACCCATACCCACACCCACACTCACCGCCGATATTCGGTCCCAAAGGTGCCCCAGCTTCTCCAGACCACGTCAAGGTACAACTCGACCAGCTGTATCGATTGCTATCATTGCATTCTTCACATCTCAAACTAATCGTGAAAAAATCGATTTTTCCTATGGAAATCTTATCCTAAATTTTGTAAATCCAGCCGACATTCGGCCCCAGACCTACCCCAGCTGCTCCAGACCACACCAAGGTAGAACTCGATCAGTTTTATCGATTGGTATCATTGGATTTTCTCTAGCTCAAACCATTCGTGCAAAAAACCCAAAATCGTAAGATTTGCATAGTGAAAAACTAGTATTTTAGAATTTTTTCACGATTGGTTTGAGCTATAGGAAATCCAATGTTATCAATCGATAGAGCTCGTTGATTTCTAACTTGACACCGTCTGGGGCAGGTCTGGGGCCGAATTTTGGCTGGATTTACTCGAATATGAGGCTAACTTCACCTACGTCCAAAGCAGCTCTTCTCAATGATGTTGTAGGATTTTCTTGAAAAGCAGCACGAACACGTTCTTTGTTCTTCTCAGTATTAACAGATGTAGGTCGTCGAGATGTGATTGCGTCTTGGACACTTCCGGTCTCATCAAATTTTTGTACAAAGTTCAAAATGTGCTCTTCGTGACGGAGAAGTTCGGTGATAACGATATTGAAACTGACGAGCAACTTCGACTGCATTTTCGTGTATGACATATCATTGACAATTTCAATTCTTTCCGACGATGACAAGTGAAAATCTTCACTCATAATTAAAGAAGAATATGAAAAAATACCCAGTTACAACTGTACAAAAACAAATAGTCTAGAGAACAGAAAAAAATGCATCAGTCGACGAAAGAGATAAGCACTTGTGTCATTGTCTGATAGGTGCCACCATTAGCAGATACATGAGTATCATCGGACGAGACATAACAGCATACATAACAGCAGTAAAAATTATAACTGTCATGTATGTTCCTAGTTTCAAAGAGTCATCCTATATATGTCCACATTGGAACAGATGCCGGTGTCCAGATATTATTTATATGCTGAATCTTTAGCTTATGATATCTAGTATATATGCCATAAATATCAGGCATAAACAATTAAAAACAAGGAAAAAATTAAAAAAATACCTTGTTACCTGCCATATGGGCCGCCCGGTACACACCCTTTATAAGAGTTTCAGCGACATGAATATGAGATTTTATCTCAATCTTTGAAATTTATTCGAGAGTTCTCTTAACTCTTTGAATTTCAATTTGATTTGAGATATATCTTACTATTCGTATGCAGAATATTTTCATTCCGAACTTACCTGATGATAAATGGTTTAAGCTCCATTCGAAACCATCGTCGTAAGAAGCTTGAAATCCTCTGATATAAACACCCACACTCACACCCACACCCACACCCACACCCATCACTAACAAGATCAACAAGAGGAAATATGGAATACGAATGAATCATGAGAAGAAGAAGATACAGGAATGATGATAAACACTGGATAGTCCATAGAAGATATACAGGGTGTCCCAAAAGTAACGAGACGAAGTTTTTTTTCGAGTTTTTTTCTTATAGAACGTCAGATAGTTCTCATATTTTTACCATAGACACTAGATGACATAAGTGTAAGATCTAGCACATGAACAATATTTGAATGTAGTAATTTATTCAAAAGCATACAAATATAGGATAATCAATAATAAGGTAACATGCGTGAGTTCTAGCAG